AACATAGCTACAAGTCCTGAGGGTAGTAGACTATATGACTGAAGGTTTCAACCTGGGCAAAGAATACCAGACCGGAGCGATATTCCTAGACGTCTCCAAGGCATTCGACAGAGTTTGGCACGACGGACTTCTAGACAAAATGAACAATTTTGGCTACTCGAAACAAATTGTATGACTAATCGAATCTTTTCTAGCACACGAATTCTATATACAGCAGACGTGCGCAAGCCAGAGAACAACTTCAACAAGTTGGCTCTCTATGCGGACGACACATTTCTACTGGCGAGATCCACCAGCCACACGCAAATCACCAGATATTTGCAACAGCAAGCGGATCAATATAAACCCTGACAGTCAAGCGATACTTTTCACCCGGTGGCTTGTACACCCGGAAGGAAACTTCATGTTCAACGGACAAAAGATTCTGATAGCAAGATACCTGGGAGTCACCCTCGACAGGAGACTGGCGTTTAGGTCCCACATACGGCAGACACTAGGACTGGCGTGAGCCACCCGACAGAACCCATACCCAATCATAGGCCACAGGAGTAACATGGATCTCCATGTGAAACTGCTTCTTATCAAGACCGTACTACTTCCCATCATTCTGTATACCTGCACTGCCTGGGGGGCAGTGCGCAGCGACATACAGACGCAGTATCCAGACGTTCATGAACGCTTGCTTACGAGCTGTCGTAAACGTCCCAAGATACATGCCTAACAGATACATCTACCGGGACCTGGACCTCAACATCCATTAGGTAGACGCTTACATGAGAGAACATGCCGAAAACACGCCAGTCCAGCGCTGCATGACCTACATGAAGCGCTCAACAGGGATGACCCCAGATTTCACGAAAGGGATAAACACATGAGGCCCACGAAGCAGAACCAACGACCACCTCCGAGAGTCGCTGTCAGGCGGCTCCGCTAAGTATTAAAATTTATATACAGAATACTAATACACACTTTCTTATAGATACATACACACAAACATAGTTCGCGACCGAAAGACACTTGTGAAAGCCGTGAAAGACCACATTCTTTTCCAAATATTAAAAAATAAAAGACGTAGCTCTAAGTACAGGTTGAATACCTTTTATGAGTAACAAAAATAGAGAAATCAAATTTCGAAGGAATTAGTTATTCTAAAACGTTAATTTATTTCTCAAGGGAAAGTTCAATTTTCCACAACTGTAAAACACTTCGATATTCGCTATCGAATATTGTTCTTTACGTAATCATTTCGTACTTTTCATGAATTTACCATAACACTTCCATCATGTGAACATACAGACAAGTCAGGAATGTATTTTCACGGAAGTTCTCAAATATTTAAGTGAAATTTCTCCGGAGAATTTCGTGAATTCTTACATGAAGGCTTCACGCTTGCGAGAGAGCTGGAATTAACCATATATACTTTTCCGGGACAAATCCCTTGATACTTGTTGAAATTTAAGTTTGCAGCCGTTGAGTTGAGCTGGTTATTCTGTTAATATTAATTCACCGAAAAACAGTGCTTTCTGTTATTTAAATTGCATTAGAAGTTGGTGAAAAGTTCAACTAAGTGCTAAAATCAAGTACCGTAAAAAGAGGTTACTTCATCCGTTACTTCATCTTGGTGAGTTCATAGTGAGCGAAATTTATTTTTGAACTGAGCAGATATCTGATAGGTAGAATTGGAACATCTGGCGTAAATTGAATCTATTTTTCCAAACGAAAATATTGTCTCCCTACGCTCGTTTAGCTTTCCAGGTTAGCATCGTCAGCAGATGACTAAAAGTAAATATTACGGCTTTGTTAATGCTTTTATATACATCTCGACGAATCATCACCTCACATAGAAATGATTCCTAGAATTACTCAATGTTCTACTGTTTCCAGTGTTCAATTTGAAGAACTTCAAATACATCTTGTGTTACTAATTTAACTTGCATTACGCAAGATATATCTGAAGTTCTTGATTTTGGGAATCAAGTTTAGATTGATGTCATTCACATCGACATTCGAAAAGCATTCGATAGTATTGGCCATTATTTATTGTTGTCTAAACTCAGAGCAGGTGGTTTTTCTGAACCACTAATTCCACTCTTGCGGTCATATTTACTTGACAGACCTCAGTTCATAGAATTTGGTGAATTTACATTCAATCACTTAATTGCCACATCTGGTATCCTACAGGGGTCTAACTTGGGTCCGCTCTTCTTGATTAATTTTATAATAAATTCTCATTTGAATTAAGATCCAGTCATCATTCAATTGCTGATGAATGTCATATCAACGATTTTTACGTCAGATGATAAAAAATTTGTTACAATTTTGAGACCCAAAACTCAGATTAATTTCTCTAAAATATTCGGAAAATGTCTCAAAATTAGAGTTATACTATTCTGCAATAATAATATTTTTTCTGAATCACAAATACGGTTTTCTGAAGAACAGATCAACCAAAAACGCAGTTTTTGAGATTGGTAACCAAATCAACAACTGTTTCCAAAATCAAGAAAAATACGTAACTGTTTTTTTTTTCGATTTTGCTAAGGCATTTGAAACTGTCCGATTATAATGTACTCCTTCAACGTGTAGCTGACATAGGTGTGAGGGGTGTAGCTTTGGAAATATTTGAAACTATTCGACAAATACAACACAAAGCGTCAAAGTAAACGACTCTCTCAGAGACCCAGTACTAGTTATCCGGTGCGTACTCCAAGGAACAGTCTGTGCCTGAAAGTACTTCTTTGCATGATCTACACATTTATGTATAGAGTTACTTCTTTTGAAATTGATTACTTCATTCCTTTCTTTGGAAGTTCACCACATTTTTTTGTATCAAGATGGAGTAGTAGAAAGCCAAAAACCCAAAAAAAAAATATAACGCTTTCAATCAAAACAAGATTCCTTTGACTGGGATTCAATCAAATAAGCGAACGAATGTCATTACAATGACATGAATAGATCAAATTCATTCCGAGACATAAAGTCGTAATTCATGGATGAATGTTGTGAATCAATCACTCCTGAAAATGTAACCCTTTCAATTTATATAATAAACAGGTAAATAATACTGATGGTTTATAATGCCTTGGCTAGCTCCATACTACAATACTGTAAATAGTATGGAATGGTACCTTCAAGACATTGCTAGTTAACTTAAAAGTGATTCAAAATTCATTAATAAGAATTGTGATGATGAGGTATTGTACTCAATTCAATTCAATTCAATTCAATTCAATTCAATTCAATTCATTCATTGGTTTTACAGATTACAGTGAAAGTAATATAAAACACGTCACAAATTACATATCGAGTGGTCCAACGAAAAGTATGCACCTTGCTTTTCTCCTTTTTTCTAACTCAACGCAAAAATGCTTGGACAGGTCAATTTTGCTTTTGAGGGGGACACATTTTAGATGTATTTTTCTACCTGTGCCTTCAACCCCCTAGCGAGGGTGAGTAACAACCCTAAAATTTTAAATGGAAAGTGGGGTCGAGTGATATATCATTTGAAAGGGCACAAAATTCTCTTTCCAATGATACCTAATTTGTTGTATTTACTTGAATAG